AGCGAAAATTTTCCACTCGTTAGAAATCCTCTGCCGCATTGGGACTTAAACGATCTCGTTACAACCATTTTCGTTTCCTTTGTCGATGCCGGCACGCAGACCCGATCGATCTGACGTCTGGCTAGCTTCCGACTCGCTCCATCCTCTCAAGCCTGGAATATTTTCTTTCCGTTGGGAACGAAATGTTTTATTCCGTTTTACTAATACGCATCAAGACTTTACACACCTTTGGTATATCTTCATACGTTATGCATATACGAGTATAGTTTTATTACAATTTTGATTATTTCGTCAAATGTATTTCGTTTCTGTATTTGTGCATTAATATATTGTGTATACATTTTTATGTCATTAGTTTGTCGTTTTTACCGAAGTCAAAATAATCAATAGTCAACACGCGCGCTCTGTCCCTCTTCCCTCTTTCCCTCTCTCCCCCCTCTCTCTCCTACCCTCTCTTTCTCTCTGCGCGCGCGCGGGTGCGTAAAATCAAAACAATACAAATGAAATGAAAAACAAATGAAGTGCAAAGAATCCAAATGCGTTACGTGAAATAAAATCGCCCTTAGTCCGAAGCGGAGTATCGGCGAGTGGCGAGAACGCTCGGGCACAGAGCGGGCAGATCCGGGTCTATATTTCTTCGGATATCGTCATGTGTACGTATCGCGCGTTATTGTTAAATACACGAGGCCCGGGGTGCCTCGGGGGGGCACCGGGGTATAATAAATTTCTCCCTTCCTATCCGTCCATCACGCTCGCTTCGCGTTCGCTCGCCTACCTTTCCCATAACCGCAGCGCCGCAGCCGTTACCAATCCGTCTGCGGCGCAGGCCGATGGCCTTTTCGCTCGGCTCCGTCTGTCTCATCTCGTTCCTCGTTCCTTGTTCCTCGGCTCGCAAACGTGACTATACCGCCGCCGCCGCCGCCGCCATCGCCACCGCTACCGCCGCCGCCTCCGCCGCCGCCACCGCCGCCGCCGCGCCGTGTATCGATCGCGGTCGATGCTCGCCCGTCGAGCAAAATAACGTTAATCAAACGAGAGGGTGGAGGGGGCAGGTGGCGACCGCTCCCCTCGTTTGGGGCTGAAGAAACATCCGGCAGTGACATTGAAATTACCGGCCGGAGTACACGCGAGAATGTACGCCCTGCGTTGTACACTCGACGCGAGGTCTCGCTGACACCGCGGACACCTTTGACATTTAATTCCTGGTGAGCGTAAATTCGTTAGCGTGTTTTCCGCCGACAGTTCGATTAATTTGGGGGTGGGGGCGGGGGGGAGAGGCAATTTTCCGAAAACGCCCATCGAAAATCTACCCCCTGAAGTTGCGGAGTTTCGGGAGGCGTTGAGCTCTTTAAATATTTAAGCCGCGAGAGGAAAGAGAGCGCCTCTCAAAGTTGTAAAATAAATTTACGAAGCGTTACTTAAGTCGCCACCAGAGAGGAACGCGATAAAAAGAAATCTGTAAAAGCGTTATATTGTGCGGCAAACGCTGTAGAGTGCGTTTTCGCAACGAGAACAACACAACCCACGTTCTAATCAACAATTATGTTTGTAACCCGGCATAAACGTCGCCAAGTCTCAGCTTTAAATTTCTACAATGGGGGGTGGGGGGGGGGAGAACTTTGCTAGAGGTCCTCGCTTTCCTATCTCGCGATTGCTGCCGAGTATCCCGGGTAAGTTCTTTTCGGCCACCCCGTAGAGAGGCACGCACTACCGGGCTGCGTCGAAGGGCGATGCACCAACGGTTACCGTTCCCGAAGGGCGGTTGCCATCCCCCTTGGTTCCCGCCGCGCCGCCGTCGTTACTACCACCACCATCGCGAGCGGCAACGGACTCGACCCTCGTCGGAACAACTCCGCTTTCGAAGGGTTGGGGCGGTCGATGCAGCGTTACCATGGAAACCAGACGCGCCGTCCGCCATCCCTTCCCACGGTGCATTCAACCGTGGGGTTGCGATCCGCGTTCGCGAAAATGCAACGGTACCTCGATAACGGGAATTATCCTCGCCAAGGACGCGTCCCCGCATCCGTTTCTCCCTGCGATCCCCGCCGCATTTTTTTTATATATCTTTTTATTCAGACGCCTCATCCCCTAGCGCGCGAGAAAGAATTAACCTCCCCCTGCCTCCCTCGTCGTGTCCCGTCGCGATGCGTGATTTGTCATACGTGTACGATCGTCGGGAACGTTCTCCATTCTTCCCTCGACGATCCCCGACAATCGAGGCGTGCGTGCTCTCTCAAAGGCAGATGTTGAGACGTAGGAAAAACTGTGTAACGCGCAAATAGATTCTCGCGTAAAGTCGTGAATTTTTAACGCGTTTCAGATTTCATTTCGGAGAGCAAGCACACAAATGAATAAGCGGGAGGGGAAAAACGTAATTGTTATTTTTATAGCTCACCTGTTTGAATTGCATACACTGGCTATTGAATTGCACAAATTCAGCGTGTAATGTATGAACGGGCTTAATATTTCGTAACGTATTTCAACAATTTGCCCCTGCCTGTTCCCTCACAATACCTCACGTTGGCTTCTCACCAAAGCTGTTTGCGATCATTTCTGTTAGTAAAACTGTATTTTCATCTCGGATCAATCAATTCCGCGCAAGGTCTGCTTTTACTGTTTCCAGCTGCCGAAACTTCAGCGGAAAATTGAAAAAGCCTTCGTGTTGGTGTACGCCAACGCGAACGTCTTACAAAAAATACGCGTATTTGGGAGATTTTTCGCATAGAATTATCTTGCTCATTGCCAGCTGGGAGTTATTCTGTATCTCCGCTTATATACGCACACACGTTCACAATTTTTACCCGTAAACTTCACAATGGCGTGAATTCTCGCTTTCGGTGAGTTCACCACGCGTTCCCCGCGACTTCCTTGGCCTCGGTATGTTAAACACGGCTTTCCGGCGACCTCGGGCTCCACGGACGCTTCCCTCAGGAGCGTTCACCTTTTATCTCGGGAGTTAATCGAAATTCTTGCACGAAGACGGCGCGCCCGGTCGCACTCGCTCGCGAGGACTCGCTGGTGCAGTAACTTCAGAAGCGTTTCCTGGAGCGCGCGAGCAGATGCTCTTTGTTCTCCTCGCCGCTGCGGTTTCCTCTCTCTCTCCTTCCCTCTTGCTGCGCGGCTTCGCTATCTCGTTTCTATTCTCTCACGTTGCCTCGTTTCTAATAACGTCGTCTGGTTTTTGATCGCTCGTTTCGATTGGGAAATGCGAAACAGATCGAATAAAGACGATTTCGAAGGGTAACATAAAAACCAAGGTGGTAACCACTTAATGTAATCGTGGGACAGTGTCTCGGAAATCATTTCCGTGTAATCGTTTTGCTTTAATTTTCAACTTTCTTCACTTGTTAGACAATGAACTTAAATTGGAACATTTTCTTAGCTTGTTTTTATTTTCCAAAAAATTTCTCTCTTTCAGTAAATATCCAAATATATACCATAGTTTACGCCTACAAGCGCGTATTATTTTTTTTATAATAAGACTGAAGTAGTTGCTGTTAGGACAGTGAGTTTATGCACCTTTGCGCAAATGTAGAACAATAAACAGTAGATACAAATACAAAATTACTTCTCGTTAAGACAACGGTTAGACTGGTGGGTAAAGTGGGAAGCGAGGAAACACGTTTTCTACCTAACCGAGTACTACAATCTTAATTGAAATTACCTCTACAAGCAAATATTTATTAATAAAATCAAAAAGATACAATGTTTTGAGGATATCTAACAGCTCTATTTTTAAACGTGCATATAAGAAAATTATTCGCAAGTAGACGAAATTATTTGTAACCGGGTGATATCGTATAAAATCTAATGAAATCGTGTAATCGGTGGGACAACACTTTAGCTAGTGGTTACCCGCTTGATAAAAACGCCACGTTGGTTTCTCTATCAAGTCTTTCCACGTCGACGAAACGACGAATAATATCAGCTGAAGCACGAGGCTTCCGAGAAACGATATTTTCACTTGAAGCTTGACACGCTGAAAAATACTTTCTCTCCTCTCTCTCTTTTTCTATTCGTTCTCTCTTCTTCTCCACGTTCTTCCTCTTTCTCTTCGCTCCTCCTCTTCCTCCTCCTCCTCCTCCTCCTCCTCCTCCCGAGCGTGGAAAAGCGAGTGTCGTCGCACGGTATCCGATAAATTCGCTCGACCGGGTGGGAGAGAAGTACGATAACCTTCGCATTCGTGACCTTGGACTCGCGGTCTATACCAGTCCTCCCTCGTTCTTCCTTTTCCTTCGCCGCCGGCGCGCGTCGTTCCCTTTCCTCCGGCCACTTGGCTGATCTCTTCTCTCCTCTCTTCTGACTGCCAGGTGAAACATGGCCGTCCGGCTCGAGCGATTTAATTAGAGGGACCGAAGCCTCCCGCTCGTCGCGAGCCGCGCGAATAACCGCCGCGCCTCGGGGGTGCAGGGGAGAGAAGGTGGAGAGGTGGCCAGACGTGCGCGTGGGAATCGCAATAAAAGGCACCTTTAAGATAGGAAACGCCGTAATAACGATTAATCGCAACGACAACGGCGGCTCTCTCGAGGAACAGCCGGGAGCGCGAGATAGTTGGAACGTTACGACATTATTATACTGTTATTTTTAGTGCCATTACCGATGGTACGCGAAATAATATTCTTTCGTTATCTCGCCTCTGTCGCGGACGAGATAAAATGTATATAATGTATTCACGTTACTCTTAGCAGAGTGTCATTGTTAAAATTTCATTTTATACGAGCATGTTTTATATGACAAGGGAAAATACAGATATATTGATAATCAATTTTGTGGAAAATTATAAAAAGAACGAAATCGTATAAGTGCACGAGTACAAAAGTGTCTACTTAAAGTGACACAAAACTGATAATACTCGAGATCCTCCCAGTAGCGACAGTGAATTGTTGAATAGCCTATATCAGGGAGACCCCCCAGCTAAATTTTTTGGCGGGTCAAATGTCAACTTTGAGATTATACCGCGGGCCGGAACAGCTAAACTTAGAACTGGTAATTTTTTCCTTCTTTGTATTTAACCAGGAAACGTCAACGATTCGGCGCTAACAATTTAGTTTCTTTCTCTTTTTTCTTCTGTGGGTCAAGCTTGGACGTCACAAACCAATTGGAAAGCCTTGAGGGCCGGATCCGACCCGCGGACCGCCAGTTGCGTGTCCCTGGTTTATACAATGGCGCTCTACAGAGTGTAACTAGAAGGTCCACTCCGTCATTTGTTTGGTTTTGCGTCAATCTCTTCTGCGCATCCGTCATTATTTTGGCCAGACTAATGAGAGAAAAGTTGTGTGTTCGGTAGCGTAGCTTCGATGAGTACGTACACGCGCGCGCCGCTGAATCTTCACCAAAATAATGGCGGAATACCACGTGATCGGGACCGAAAAGATGAAAGGGCCGACTGGGAGTGGACCTACTAGTTATACTATGACGCTCTACGAAACGCGCGTAACGAACCTCAGCGACATTTGTACATGGCGTAAATATTGGTGATTTTCTGCTTACAGGGATGCCGGTTGATTGAAGATGGCCTCGCCGACACCGTCAGTGGAATCGCGCGCAAATTCCCTCGGGTCCCCGGTCTCGCTGTCCCCACTAACGGTGAGCGGCAGCTCGCCGCCTGCTAGCGACTCGGCGATCTGCGACGTCGACAGCTGCGACTTGTGCCTCGACGCAAAGTCGGGCGAAGACCCGTGCCCGCGCTGCCGGCTGAATACCAACAGTCCCATCCGCTGCACCGGCTGCAAGTCCACGGAGGGCGTTGTGGCTATCGCTGTAAAGCGCTGTTACAATTGTGATCAGTTTCTCTGTCCAAATTGCGTGATGGCCCATCAATTCATGCTCTGCTTCGATGGCCACCGGTTAATGAACTTGGCCGACTCCAAGCTGGAGACCATCGGTAGCGGTGGCGGCGGCGGCGGCGGCGGCGTTGGCGGTGGAAATGGTGGTGGCAGTGGTGGAGGCGGCGGTGGCGGTAACACGATCACCGCGACGACAGAACTGCCTAAAAACGCGTGTAACGGCAGCAGCGGCGGAGGTGGTGGTGGCGGCAACCTGGTTATCAACGGCACTGGAAACAGCAACAACGGCGGCAACGTGGAGAAGATTCACTTCTGTGGGCGACACAAGCAGGAAATAATCAAGTATTACTGCCGGAGCTGCAACGTGCCGATCTGCAAGGAGTGCACACTGACGGAGCACGCAGGACCGCTGCACGACTGCGCCCACGTCTCGGAGGTGGGCACGCAACAGATGGAGGTGTTGTCGCGGGTCGTCCAGGAGTGCCGCGCGAAGGCGGCAGACGCGCGCTCGGCGGTCAAAGCGACGGACCATAACGCCGCGATACTACAGGTGCAGTACCACAAGGCGCAGAACGAGATCAACGATACCTTCCAGTTCTATCGATCGATGCTAGACGAGCGCAAGCAGGAGCTGCTGAAAGAACTCGACTCGGTGTTCTCGACGAAGCAGATATCCTTGAACGTGCTCTCCCAGCGGGCCACCGAAATGGCGGACAAGATGATGCAGACCTGCGACTTCGTCGAGCGCGTAACCAAGGTTACCTCCATCACAGATTTCCTCATGGTCAAGAAGATTCTTGAGGCCAAGCTCCAGACGCTGCTCAGTTACACGCCGAACACGGATATAGCCAATCAGACCGCGGACCTCGAGTTTGTCAGCAATTATCAGGCGATACAGGTAGGGGTGAGAAACACCTTCGGTTACGTTCGGAGTAACAGTAACAGCGAGAACAACACCAGCTCGATCGGCAAGCAGCCGCCTATCGCCCGACCTACCGCACTGTCGAGCAACGGCATTGGCGGCAGCAGCGGCAGCAACATCAGCAACGGACCCGGAAGCACAGCCGGTTCCCTGAGCAGCCTCCTCCTAGAGCGAACTTACAGCAACGGCCTGATCTCCTCCAGTATGAATTGCGGCTCGTCGTCGTCGCCCTCCTCGATCGACACCGTCAGCAGCGTTATCTCGAAACGTTTCAGTTCGGTTAACAGTCTCGGCCCGTTCTCCTCGACGATCAGCGATGTGAATCTGAACGGCATGAACACCAATCCGTACGAGAAGTGGAGCAACGGTGGCAGCGACACTTATCCGGTTGTGACGACCAATGACCATTTCGTGATGCCGTCGGTAACCGTAGCGACGAACGCCCCGCAAGGCGATTCCGTCCTTGACTTGACTTCGAAACTGATGTCCGCCACGGCGATATTCCCGCCTAAGTCGCAGATCAAACGGCAGAAGATGATTTACCACTGCAAGTTCGGCGAGTTCGGTGTGATGGAGGGTCAGTTCACGGAGCCGTCGGGCGTGGCGGTGAACGCGCAGAACGACATCATTGTCGCCGATACGAACAATCATCGCATCCAGATCTTCGACAAGGAAGGCAGGTTCAAGTTTCAGTTTGGCGAGTGTGGCAAACGCGACGGCCAGTTGCTCTATCCAAATCGCGTCGCCGTCGTCAAGACGTCCGGCGACATTATCGTTACGGAGCGCTCGCCGACTCATCAGATACAGATCTACAATCAATACGGTCAATTTGTGCGCAAGTTCGGCGCGAACATCCTCCAACACCCGCGCGGCGTCACCGTCGACTCGAAGGGACGGATCGTTGTCGTCGAGTGCAAAGTGATGCGTGTCATCATCTTCGATCAGACCGGCAACGTTCTGCAAAAATTCGGCTGCTCGAAACACCTCGAGTTCCCGAACGGCGTGGTGGTGAACGACAAACAGGAGATCTTCATCAGCGACAATCGCGCCCATTGTGTCAAGGTTTTTAACTACGAGGGCGCTTATCTGCGGCAGATCGGCGGTGAGGGCATCACCAACTATCCGATCGGCGTGGGCATCAATACGCATGGAGAGATACTAATAGCGGACAATCATAATAATTTCAATCTGACCATCTTCACGCAGGATGGCCAGCTGGTCTCAGCCCTGGAGAGCAAAGTGAAGCACGCGCAGTGTTTCGATGTTGCGCTAATGGACGACGGCTCGGTCGTATTGGCCAGTAAGGATTATCGACTGTACATATACCGCTATGTGCAGGTGCCGCCGATCGGCATGTAGAGCAGCGACGCGTCACGACGACGACGATGATCGTCGTGCGCCAGTGTCAACATTCTTCATCGTGTCATCATCATCATCGCCATCATCGCCATCATCGCCATCGCCGTTCCTCGTCGTTCGACGATCGCGGGGCCATCGCGGTCTCATTGGTCGTTGCTCTCATCCACGTTCGCCTGTCTTCTATCGCTTCATCGCCAACGCCATTGTCTACTCGTCACCTGCGAGACGTTTCACGGAGAACCGCCGACCATGAGAAGAGCGGCGCACCATTTGTTGCTCCACACGCACGGCTCTCGAGGGATCGGACTCCCGAGCGAGTGTGTCGTTGACGCGGCAAGAAATTCGGAGGCCGCCCCTCGCCGGAACTTTCCCGAGGCGCTCCTCTTGTGGAGGACTCTGCCGAACGAAGGACATCACCGACGGTATGCGAGAAAGCACGCGCGCGCCCGCGCGCTTCCCTCGATATCCTCCTCGCGTTTCCGCGAGCTGCTGTCCTCTTCGTCCCACGTGGACGAGCGGAAAGAGAGAGGAGAAACGCGTGATGCTTTGTGTGTTTAGCCCTCGCGACGCTGGGCTGTCGAGGACACCCGTAAACGAGAGAAAGAGAGTGAGAGAGGGAGAGAAAGTGAGCGAGAGAGAGAGTGAGAGAGAGAGAGAGAGAGGACGTATAATCAACCCTGCCCCGACAAATTCGCGCGCGCTCCTTTCTTCGCGCGTACGCGCCCGCGTATAAGCGCGCGCGTACGCGATAACTTACTTGTTAATGTTGTTATAATACTGAAAATACTGTTGTTGTTGTTTAGTTGTAGAGCTCGCCGCCGCTAGTCACTTCCCTCCCCCCCCCCCCCGCCCCCTCGCCTTCCACCCTCCGCTCCTCTGCCCTTGACGCCCGTTACCACCCCTCCCTGCTCCCTCGTCCCCGCTAACCACGGTCTTCTCTCTGAGACCTCGTCCGACGATCGCATCAGGATCGCGCGTTTCCACTCGTCCCGACGACATGGTCCACACTTAACTAACACAGGCATCGGGTCGTCACACGCGTGCCCAAAACCACGCGCGTTCACCAACATTTCCGCTACTCTCTTCGTGGTCGTTCGCAACCGTCGCGCTCCGGGTTTACTTCCGGTCATCGCGTCTCGACATGCCTCCCCTCCGAATGCCGAATGCGAGGTTCGCGAGGAACGCCCGTTTCGTTGTTGTAACTCGTTTAGAGAGAGAAAGAGAGGTCCGTTTTGAGAAGCAACGATTTTGCGCGCACCGCCCGCAAAGCGGGTCTGAACTTGTCCCACGGGACGCGAGACTGATTGCCGCGAGTATTGTATAGTCTTACTACTCCGGTAAGCTTCGAACTAGCTCGTACATTGTTAACACACTTCGTCCGCGATCGTCTTCGTCAAACGATGTTGTTCCCCAAATTGTTCATACGTTATCTCAATGGATAATTGTTTGTTCTTACCGCGTAAGACGTCAGATTGATCCATGTGTTATCAATATGTTTGCGGAAATAGTTTGAGAAATTGGTTAATTTCGTAATTATTTCGATACAATGTATCGACATATTTGGGTAACAGACTTGCTGAAGATTGTTGAAACATGTATGAGCGTGTGTTTGGGACTGTGCGGATTATCCGAGATAAATTGACCCGATATATCATCCGCGAGGTTTGTCCTGCGGATTCTAAGTCACCGGACAGGACAACTCATGTGTCGCGGGTAGATCGAATTCGTATTCCCCGTTGTTGAATTTGTCCTTCGGTTCCGCCTCTCCCCTTCGTTTTGTAACGGTTATCGACAATTCCTACGGAAACTCATCCTGAGGTGCATTTAGTAATTAATGACAGCGTTTCGTTGAACGTCGTTGAACGGTCATCGGGCGCGTTTATTTTTTTTTCTTGTCTCTTCAATTTACATTTACTATTATATATTGATTAGTTTTACTTAATTAATTTCCGCACCTCACGGCCCGTACATTCGTCCCCCATCGTTTCGTCGCAAAATTGTATCGACCCACGTTTAACTTTTCGGCCGTACACCAATTACTTTTTACGCTCGAGGTTTACGTGATAAATTTAACAATTACTTATCTTTGTCAGCGAGTATATGCCGAGTGCCTATCGACGGTATCGTTTTATTCATTGCGTTCCAATATATCGCGATACGTTTCCGAGTATTCGCGAGGAAACGTTGTACCAAGCGACGTTGACGCTTAAACACAAGATCCTCAGTTCATTCGTAGATAACGCAGGTAATTCTAATAATCGTTTTCATTCGCGGAGACATGCAGGAATCGTAAGAGAATTCATTAAGACCCGAAATAGTATTACGAGAGATGAATCTCAAGAAACAGAAGGCTTGGCGTTTGATCCATGGCGTAAAACACAAAAGCCGATTGCGTATATCGATGTTGGATCATCGAGGCTCGTTCTCGGCTCTCCTAGCAAAATGACGCAATCGTTTTAACGTAACCACTAGTTTCATCAACGATACGAAAGCAGAGGACGAATTCATCGTCGTCCTCTCCAACTTCCCATTTTACGACGAAACCCTCTTCCTTTTCTTTCTATTAGCGTAGTTAGTATTGTAGCGCATATAGTAGCTGTTAGCCGTTTTAGCGATCGTGTAAGACTTTCCTTTTTGCTCTGTACCTCGGTAGTTACGTTGTCACAGCCTGATACAACTTTTTTGTTCTTCTCTCTTTTTCATTTGTGTCGCTGCGCTTGATAAAAAAAAGGGGGGAATGCGTTGTTGCTGCTGCTTATGTTCTTGGATTCTGACGAAACCACCGTCTGTCCCAACCACCACAGCGATGAGAATCACCACCACCCTCCGATTCCCACCTGACTGCCGCGCAGCCGTTTTAGGTTTGCGCCGTCGTCCTTCTCATTCGAGACAAAAAGAACTTATAGTATTAATAATATATTTTGTTGGATGGATCGCCAATCGCGGAAGTCTCCATCGCGCGACTCCGTGCATGTTTGCTATTATTATATTTTTTATTATTATTATTGTATTATTATTCTATTATTATTAACGTGTTGTGCGACTTTCGATTGTCGATACGAGATCCAACGCCCCCGTACTGTGAAGAGAAAAAAAGGCTAGCTGGCATACCCTAACGACCGTAATTACTACGGCCACGAGAATTCGTCGTGGATTATATCGGGGTCTTCGGTCGTCGATTGATCGCGCGAACGTCAATTCGATTTCGGAAGTTTTGAAAAGTCCCCGGGCTGATTTAGTTTTCTCGCGCTCAATCGTTCGGGAAAAAGAAATTGTTACGCTCCTTGGAGAATATTACAAGTTTTACATACAGAATAATTAGTGAAATTCTTTTAAAAGTTCTCTACGACTCGATCGAGTATCGAATATTGTTTCAACTCAATGACAGATTTTTTTTTAATAGAATAGTGAATTAGAGTAGTAGTACGATCTATCAACAGCTGACTTTTCGCAATTCGATTGGACGAGCGATAACTAAGATTCATCATTTCCGCGTCTTCGAACAGTTTCGTCATCGATCGTAATCGAAGATCCTGGGATAATTCGCGGTGATCGCTTGATTTGGTAGTCGAATCCGATCGCACGTTTAGCTCAGCGACGAGCTGACATTTACCAAGTTGGACTGAAGATTCATGACATTTGATTAAGGACTTCGATTTGAATATTTTTAGTTTCCTCAATCTGCGAATTTATGATCGAGAAACACAAATATAATCTAAGTGTTTTGTAGTTGTTATTTACAAGTATAAAATGGCCTTTCGGGAAGAGAAACAGAGCAAAGGGCACCAGTTTTTTTGACGTTTATGTGAATGTTGCGAATCTCACAACCGACTCTCTGTAAATTAGCGAGTATTTAAATAGGGACACGCGAATTATGGTGCATGACAAAACGTTGCAACGTCATGCGACGAACGAGGGTGTGATATTTGACAGATTACTAAAATAGATGTTGAATCGTGAATCCTTTAATTTCTACGCGATTAAAGAGTTGCAGTTAAAGACTACCGAGCCAGGCGATCGCCTTGCGGAACTCCGTCCTTGTTCGTCCGAGATAATTCCACAGACATTCCGTAAACATTTCCGATCTTCTTCCATCGAGTCGCGCAAACGCTCGGAATCATATCACGGACCAGTTATGCGCACCTGTCGTTCGCTCGAGTAGAGGACTCGATGTTATTTTTGACCGCAAATTCTGGACATTCTCCGATTGGAATGTCCTCGTTATGAAGACAAACTCGTAAGGACGAACAAGGAGGATGGAAATGAACAGGGTGCCCGGGAAGAGAATGAACGCGAAGGGTCGTGCGAGGATTACTTGGATTCATTCTCATTTTTCTACGTACCGCGATTTAGTTTCGACGTTTTTGTTTTAATCTCTCGAGCAAGCGCTATTCCCGCGTCGACCCGGGCAAACCGTCGAGCTCTTCGTTTTTTTTTCTTTCTTTCAACCTCTTGATTCGTCAAGCTATTTCAACCTTAGTCGATCGCGCCCCCGCGCCTTTAATCAATCTTTTTTTAAATAACTTGACAAAGACGGAATGCCAGGAGGAACGACGCGAATGGAATAGCCGTGAAAAAAATAGGAAAATCTTTTTCTCTAGGCAGGGGGATATTAATTTGGGGAGAGAAAGGGTGCACGAAGAAAGGTTGCACCATCGAGACGGCATCACAAGGTATCTGTCCATTAGTATTTATATCACATATGCATGTGTTGAGATCCCTAATTAACATTACTGTCATTATTATTATTGCTATTATTAATTAGTTATTATTGATATTTAGTTACTATTATTATTATTACATTATTATTCTTATTACTCAGTTATTATATCGTTATTATGTCGTATTAACGCGTTTTCACGCGAAAACCTAGGAGAGACGATGCGCCGCCTTTTGCCAGCTAGCCATCACACTACCACTTCGCCGCTCTCATTGTCAATAATCGGCCGTGAGGCGCGCGCACACAAGACAAGAGATTAAATTCCATTCCTACGCATTACTCCCAAAGTAAGAGCCCGCGAGATGTTACATGCGTGTGTGTATGTGTACATGTTACTACTGTGCCTGCGTGTGTTTTATATATGCGTTCGCGCTCGCATTGCTCGCGTTATCACCGAGAATGAGACGCTCCGCGATGCGCGCGAAAGATGAGAACGATATACCGTTTCGACACTATCACTTTTCTTCTCGCTGTCAGCCACTCTTCTTCCTTTTTTTTGTACCGGTTTGTTATGTTATTATTATTAATATTATTATAATATTATTGTATTATTATTTTTAGATGATACAACTCGATTGTTCTTAATTTAATTGTAAATCGTATTTTTGTTTGTTTTTTAATTATTTTTTGTTGTAAAATGCTTTTTAATAATATTTTCAGTTCACATTATGAATGAGCATTTGGTCTTATTTTTATTTTCTACAGCTCTTGCCTGCTATTCCCCGACAACGACGGCGGCCCGGTTCGGAAAATCAATATCTCGCTTTTGAGGAAAGTCCATTTTGAAGCATCGAATGGAAATGCAACTCTTAAGAAAAGTCCACTGTCAAGTGCAAGTCTAATTAACGATATCAAATTTCAGAACTTTGCAACATATTTTCTCTTGTTGCACGCAGATTAAACATCCTCCTCGTAACACAATGGGACGGTGCGATCAATTGAGATCAATCTTTGTTTCTCATTACATAAAAATGATAATATTTTTAAAACACAGTAATCGAAATAATGTAAATTTTATTATTACTTATTATTCCGATACAGATTTTTTTCTCGGCTGTTTCTTGCTAAATTGTATCA